CACGCTGCTTTGCTCGCTAAAACACCGGTGTCAGCACATAAGGACGCTGTCAGAGCCTGACAGCGACGTTTATTAGCTGCATATATACGAATGTGAATCGCATCATTGGCTGGACTATTGTTCAGCTTTCTAATCCCATACGGGAGCAGCCAGTCACTGACTAACACTGCAAAACAGAATTGTTAAAGTATTAATTTTAATTTCAATTCAGGTAGATTTGTTTTTGTGCGCAACCAGAGACCGACCACAGTGATTTAGCTGTTATGGCTGTGATTTATGTTACAGTGTTCTCTGTAAAACTGTCCCTCAGACCAATACTGTAGCAGCCTGTACGACAGAGAGTCACCAAAGGATGCTCGGTGTGCAGCTGGACACCTCTGAATAAATCCAAACACTGTAAAATGTCCAACCTTATACAAATAAAGAAATAAAGACATTTAAAGCCTGACACAAAAAGCTGTGAGGTGGGTTACTTTTTATAACTCGGATATCTGGTTACTGGAGTTATGGGTGCAGTAGCTTCGTGCAGTTGGTCTCCTCTGGAAAATAGTTTAATGTAGTTTTCTTACAAATAATACTGCTTACAGTGTCAGCTATTAGCTCGTTTACTGTTTGCACGCTTTTAATTTGAAGGTGATAACTGCTGGCTCCAACAATAAATAAATAAATAAATAAATAAATAACACGGCAGGTAGCAAAATACTAGCACTGGGGATTCAAAATGTTCAAAAAGTGTGGATTATGGTTGATTCCCATAAGCTGAGGACATCAGGAAACCCCAGTGCACAGTGACACACGGTGTGAATTTGTGCACTTTTAACTGCACCCAGCAGTGGTGGTGGTGGAGGCCCTTCTAGGTGCTTCTACATCACTTAGCTGTTAAGATCTATTTAATGGCTTCAAATGAGACTTTAGTTTTGTGTCAGCTGAGATTTTGTGGGAGGTTCTGCATCGTTTCACGTATATATTTATACATACAGGCTCTTTGAAAGAAAGGGGAGGGTATGCAATTTCAGAGCCGAACTCTCTCTCTGAGTGAGGGATCCTGTTAACAGGCGCTCAGGCAGATTTGAAACACCTCCAACTCCAATCTGCTGCGTGGAGCTGAGAGCCAATTCATCTCTGCTGAAGAAGCAGAGGCTTGGAAACCACACACGCCCACACACACACAAACAAACATAACTCTATAGGACTGTGTTAACGTTGTTACTGAAAGATTTTTGAGAAACGTCGTCCAGCAGCCTCGTTTTCAGGTTGACAGACGTATATTTAGGGAATCCTGTGATGTGCTTCCACCGTCCTTTCAAACACGGCTTGTGTTGTTGGTGCTGTGCTGACTGACGTGTCTGTCTTTTAAAGAAACGGCTGGCAGATAATTGTAATTGGAAAAGGAAGTAAAATAATGTTTTGCCAAGAGATTATTAACAGATTGTTGAGAATATTTCCAACTAGGACAGAACCTCCAATTTTTGTTTTTTATATGAAATCCAAGAGAAAGTGTCCTGCTCGTACCAAACGAAGGCACGCGACGTGAAAAACACAGCCTGTCGAGTAAATGTTGGTCAAGCTTTTACAAATGCTGCAGTTTGAATTATTAACCCAATGAATGCATAAGAAATAAGAACATGTTCTTTTGTTTTCTGTGTTTTGACTGCCATATCTAAGCCGTTATTAACTTTTAGGCAAGCTAACGTATTTATTGTTTCCCCTTTTTTCGACTCGCTGACATGTATAATATGTATCACCCACCTGACGGCTGTGTCTGGATGTTTTATGGCACCAAACTGCAAAAACTCACCTTCACAAGTCCAAAGGATGAGAGAGATGTGACCTAAAGACGACGTTTGTGGCTGGTTGGTTCAACACTTGTGAAATGCCCCAGCAGATACCAGATGTATTGTGATAATGTTAAAGACGGATCCTGATGAATTCCCGTGACTCCGACATTTGGGACGGTTTTTATTTGAAGCACCGCAGACATGCTGAGTGACACAGGCACCTCGCAGGCTGACGTCTCGTCTCCTTAAACCCTCCTTGTGGATATGCTGTTACCAGATCGCTACACTTAGCTACGCTGCAGCTTTCCGTCCCCTCAGACTGTACACACCGCAGCTGTACAACAGCCCTCGAGTACTAACTCTGCATCTTTTAAACCTCTGTGAACCTCCTTTACATTCTGCCATGAGTACAGCGATAACACAATGACAACCTGCAGCCGTGTAGCCTCGTCCGTTAGCGACGTTAGCATTAGGACGCAGACTCTGACATTATGATCAAAGAAATCAAGAAAGCTTCATTTTGAACTTAGCTGGTATTTTACTGTAGCTGAAACCTCCAAGCTCTTTGTTCATGTGGAAATAATATAAGGAAATGGAGACACATTAGTTTAGACTTTACACATTTTTTAATGTTTTAACTTTTATTTTTATGTCTTAAAACATGAAGTTAACTAGCAGGTATTTGCTTACTGAAGCAACTAACACTTTCTCCATTTCCCCTGCAGTCAGCGATACCAAATTACGTAGGACGTTCTTGGAAAGAGACCTGCAATTATGTGAAAAGCTGCCACAAAATTTGCAGGAAGTTGCAGGACTTGTAAATTAAACCGTTGTAATTCTACAGAGATTCAGCATGTTCAGATTCAGAGTTTCTCATAAAGAACAAAGTATTTGAGTAGCTCGACAACAGCAGCATCTTTTTCAGTGGGATGTCAAAATTATGCTTGGAAATATCCTTAAATCGAGCAAAGCACTGAGAAATGAGCAAATCCATACAGACAACACGTGTGCAGCGATCAGGGTATTCATATATTTACAGCAC